TATTACTGAATTACTTCCCTAGTTAACACCTTAACTCTGTTTTGAGATCTGGAGAACTAGAACTATGCTTTCTGATTTGTAGGCAACGACACTCCTGAATGCTGGTAAGATCAGTTAATGTTTCAGACAAGTATTGGAATGTCCATTTGTACTCAGCAAGTATTTGCTGAGTGCCTTCTCTATAGTTCAAGCATTATGCTGCTCTAGGAACATCAGTCAACAGTACAGACATGAAGCCTTTAGGAAGCTTACATAATCTAGTAGACATTCTAAAATGGTCTTTAGATTTTTGCTCTGAGATCATCTGTCCCTGTCTCCTGGATTAGAAGTAGCCTTCTCATTTCTTAGGTAATGGCCTGGCAGCATCCATATCCAGCCTTATCAGGATTAAATAAGCCTATTTGGCTTCTAATTTGATGTTTCTCCCTAGGTACAGATAAATCTTTTCCTTCCTATTAGCAGTACATTTTTATTTTCTTGATTTAAACCATACCTAAATCTTACTTCATAATTTTGTTGGATTTAAAATAGGATAGGTGCTCCAACAAGGCTGTAAAGAAGATAAATAGCGTTTTGAAAATAGATTTCTTGTTATTCGTCACCATGAAATTAAAATAGGCTCAGAGAGAAAAAAAGAATACATCATTGTGGTGGGTGGTTATATTTAATCTAAAAATACAAGTGATTATATGTTCATTAAATTTTTGTGGGCTGGAGAAGGAGGGTTTTATCTTTACTTTAGATTAACATTTCCAAAAGTGTATTTCACGAGAATGTTCGTTTCATAGGGGAAAAACAAAAGTGGGAAAAAAGAAACAGAATTTTGTGGTCATATAAGTTTAGAAAATCATGGTTTTCTGCATAATTTGTCAGGGTCTTTAGGGTTTTAGGTTATTGTAGTAATTTATATATTAAGTCATAAAGGTCTGAACTATGACAATTGCAGAGAGTTTAGATGAATGGTTATTTAGGGAGTTATTAAAGGTTGGAATCAGTATGGCTTAGACATTTAATTGGTGTGAGAGTAAGGGCAAGGAATAAGTGAATAGTCATCTGCAGGTTTCCCATTTGGCCAACTGGGTAAATAATGGTGCCATTATTGGAGAGACTGCAGGAGAACCAGGTTTGAAAGGAAGATGATGAGATCCATTTAGATAAGATTGAACTAGTAATTTATGAGACATTCAAGTGGGCATGCCCAGGAGATAACCGGGTAGGTCTTTGTCTTGTGAAAATATTTTTTAAATTTTGGAGTCTTCAGAGTACTTGTGAAACTTAAAACCACAAGAGTGAAAGTCATTCCAGTGGAGTGTGTAAATTAAGAAAATGGCTAAGGATGATACATTGATAAACACCAACTTTGAGATGAGTGATAGAGGAACTCAAGCAGAAAGAGCAATAATGGGAAGAATTTTTTTTTTTTTTTTTTTGAGACGGAGTCTGGCTCTGTCGCCCGGGCTGGAGTGCAGTGGCCGGATCTCAGCTCACTGCAAGCTCCGCCCCCCGGGTTTACGCCATTCTCCTGCCTCAGCCTCCCGAGTAGCTGGGACTACAGGTGCCCGCCGCCTCGCCCGGCTAGTTTTTTGTATTTTTTAGTAGAGACGGGGTTTCACCGTGTTAGCCAGGATGGTCTCGATCTCCTGACCTCGTGATCCGCCCGTCTCGGCCTCCCAAAGTGCTGGGATTACAGGCTTGAGCCACCGCGCCCGGCCAAGAATTTTATTTTAATGCTGTGGGAAAGAGGATGCTTTGTTCCCACCAAGTTGAATATAGAAAAACAAATATCTACAAACTATGGGGATTGCATCTTGCTTTCACTTATTTATTGCTAAGTCATGCCTAACAGTACTAAGTTTCTCAAGTCTATAATTGGCAGGAAGAATTTTCTAAACCTAGTAGAGGTGATGATAGTACTGCCTTAGGACTTCTGTATTGTTTTAGGGATGGGATTTTATTCTAACTCACATTCTTACAAAAACTGAAAAGAGAATTTTTTCTTTTCCTACAACTGTTCTTGGATACTAAAATAAGTATTAAAAATGGGGAAGTGTTATTTCAAATCACCTTATAGTCAGGAAAAAAATCCAGAAAATTCTGACTTGAAAGAAGACAACTTTACATAGCAAAGTGGATGACTCAGACCTATTGATTGGAACTCATCAATAATGAACTAGAATGGGAATGAAAAACTACTTCTTCAGACCAGTGTTATGGAAAAGATCTTTTAAAATACAGCAATATTTTGAATGTGAGCCAAAAAGAACTAAGTCTAGCAAGCATTTCAAGATAATATTAGTGATGAATTGAGTTGGACAACAAAGTATTGATATTTCATTTCTACTTTGAAATTTCACATTTCACCTTTGGTGTCTCCACATAGTTGTACATCTCATAAGTCATGAAAGCGTAACCTTTAAGCACTCAAGTGCCTCTAATATACTACAGTATTATCCATTGCAGCTTGAGAAATAACTGTTTCAACTAATCTAGAGTTGCTTATACTGACTTTTAAGTGTTAACTGTTTTGGTAAGATTATGATATGTGATGTTAATATACATCTACATCTTTGCAGTTATTACTTTAGTTCTAGTAAAATCATATTCAGCAGAGTTGGACTAGTAGAATGAGCCTCTTGGTGGTTCATTCCTGCAGCATTTTTAATAAACATACATATCCTCAAACATTTTTAGGAAGAATTACAATATTTTAAAAGTATTTGCAAGGTTGTTTGGCACAATGTCTCTCTTTACAGGATAATTAATTTTTAGCTTTAATGTTAATAAAGAAGATACATTCATGTATCTGTATATATAACACTGCTATTAACCTTTCTTTTGAAACTTTCTCATGTAACTGCAATTACTTGATCATATTATGCCTTTATAGAAATGTGCTATAGATTCAAACATATGCCTTTGTCTTTTAAAGTCTATATTGTATATTAAGAAACATGCAGCAGAGTGAATTCATATTGATAAGTACTATCTTTTCAAAGCATTGGTAACTTCTAATGACATTTGGCAATATATGTAGATGTGCATAAAAATATAAATTCTTGCCGTCTGACATGGGTTTTTCTGGCTTTCTGTGCCTTAATCATTCAGTGTTTTACTCTTGGTCACCTAAACTTTCACCAATTGCATTTTGAGTTTTTTCCCAGTTGTGTTTTAACCAGTTTTTTTTTCTTTTTCTTTTTCTTTTTTTTCCATATTTCTATCATTCTGGCGTAGGGCACTTCTGATCTGCAATTGTTCTGTAATGTCTTAGAAAATTTTAAGTGATATCAAAAGCATGATATATGTATTTATTTTATTTAAGATACAGTTAGGTATTTTAAAATCAAAATCAATTGCCTAGAGTTTTAAAATGTTAAAAAAAAAAAAAAAAAGTAAACCAACATGCTGTGTGTAAACCTATTCTGTACTTACCTTACACACTGAATGTGTCCAGTCTTACTTCAATGCAACTCTAAGAGTTTCCGGAAGTGTAAATGTTAAGAAAAATGTTTAACTTTGTTGCACAGAAGTATTTGCAGATCAGCATTGCTGACTACCAAAAAACATATAGTAACATACAACGTCATCTGATTTTTAGTGGTGCTTCCATGTTGCTGCAGTTAAATTCTGTGCATCAAAATAATTGGCCTTTGTGTACTAGATGTGATTCAATTACATCTTGTTTTTATTGAAAATGTGCAAACTGAGTGAATCCTAATTTTTCCATATATTTTTATAGCCGTGGCTCTGATAACATCTCATTTGGCATCTTTTTTCTGTGTATTAGTCAGTTAGGAAAAAATTGCATCTTTAAGATGAAACCTTAAGTTCCAGTTTTTATGCAGAATGATTTAACTACTATAATTTCTTAATATTCATTTGTGGCAAAGATCACTTAATTTTCCCAGAGCTTTACTTCTCGGAAATATATTTTTTTCTCGTCTAACCTTGGCTTTTTCTTCAGCACAGTAATTACACATTTTAAGAAAAATCCCCAGTTGAGACACACATAGTTAAATCTCACTCGTGATGAAACATTTTAAAGAGCTTATTAAAATGTTTCTCAATATTCATATTTATGACATAATCACTATGTGATAATAGGAGAAATTATGAGTTTCACTAGTACCTCTTAACATGAACAAATTTATTAGAAGAGTTATCAGAAACTTTGATATTCTACTTAGTCCTACTCAGTATCCTTAGAAAATTATAGTTTTAGAAATGTACACGTTCATTTGCTATAGAATTATCTTAATTAGAAATTAAAAGTGAAACTATTTCTTTCCTGTGGCTCTAAATGAAAAATAAAACCCTTTGGGTTTTGGGTTTTTATTACTTTTTTGATATGTGTTTGACATATCTATGTTTGTTTTTAGAAAACATACTCTTGTTTGTAGAAAAATATATAGGCATCATGACATTTGTTAAATATTTAAACCATATTCCTTCAACATCCTAACAAAGGGATCTATTCACTAACGTTTCTGTATGTTGATTTATAACATTATTCTAGACAATGCGTTTTAAATTAAGTTTTGTAAAAAAAAAAAAAATCCTAAGTTTTCTCTTTTTAAGAATATTTGCTTGGGCTTCATCTAATTTTTACCTTATCCCCTAAAATTATGTCACCTGAACACATCCATTACATTTCTTACCTAGACTGAATAAAGCAGAAGTACCCAGATTATTAATATTTTTATTTATTTAAACGAGAGTATGCCATAGATTTTATTTTTAAATAGAACTATTCCTTGTCAGACAGCTAGAACATTGGATAATAACCCCCTGAATTCTACTAAAACTATGGAAAACATTCACCAGTTTGCTTGCAAATCAACTCTGCTGCATGCGTTCACAAGTTTCATAAAGATTGCATGCTTTCTGTTTTCAGTACAAATTGTATTTTTTTTTCACACCCATCCTTGCTTTTTATTTTTTAATTTTTGTTTCCCTTTTCTTGGTTGGATGCCTTTGTGTGTTTATTCCAAATCCCTGTCCAGTCCTGGAGTTTGAACTACGGAAAGCCAAGGAGACCATTCAGGCCCTCCGAGCCAACCTGACAAAGGCCGCAGGTGGTGTACATAAAACTTTTTTGAGACTTTTCAACTTTGACAATGTAGAAGTAGCAGAGATATTTTACAATGTAAAATAGTAAAATCGTATTTATGTTTTTTTCCACCAGAACATGAAGTTCCTTTACAGGAACGAAAAAATTACAAATCAAGTCCTGAAATTCAGGTGAGTGATGGAAGACAAATGTAAAATTGTCTTCCACATAAAATGGTAACATAAATATTGAAGGAGGAAAACTTATGATTTCCTGTTTGCCTCTTATTTTGCTTCCAGGAGCCAATCAAACCTCTTGAAAAGAGAGCTCTAAACTTCTTAGTCAATGAATTTTTATTGAAGAATAACTACAAGCTTACATCAATAACCTTTTCAGATGAAAACGATGATCAGGTAAAGTTACTTTTTATTTTTACAATAATTTTTTTGTTACACTTATAATTCACTTTCTCTTGTACATAGTTTCTTTTTTTTTTTTTTTTCTTGTAAGTTATTATATAGTAAAATTCTACAAGGCTAGTTACCAGAAACAGCAGTCTCTTGCCTATCTAGTCTATTAATTCTATTAGCTTACAGACTTTATTCTTTCCCTGTTGCTTTCTACATAAAGACTTTTCATTCTTTCTAGATTCCTTTTTACCACTCCTCAGGGACTATATGGTCCACTCATTTTTGCATATATTCATAAAGTATGCTTTTTAAAGACATATACTTGATAGTATAGGTTATTGTATACTTATAAATCCAGTTTAACTATAAACCTCCTCAATTGCACTGTAACAATTAAGATGTTAGATAAATATATGACAGTATTTAAGAGAGTGTATGGTAAATGAGAGTGAGAAAATCAGCTGTGTCTCTCTGAATAAGGGCCAAGTTTAGAACTTTATTATTATTATTATTATTTTCCTGATAAAATGTTTTAAGCAAAAAAGATGTCTTATTTTAGTATCATCTCTCAAATGGAATATTTTGACTTCTTAGTGCTAATGGATCGGTTTGAATCTTGTACTTTAAAAAAGTAAATGCCAGCAAATTTATTATGTAGGAATCTGAAGGCCATGATTTTAAGTCAAGATTATTCTGTTGGTTTGTAAAATCTCCTATAGATCCTTTAGCAAAAATAGAAATTTTCTTAGTAAGATAGTTCAGTTCTCTCCTCAGTTATTAGAATATATTTGGCAAAATTAAATGCAATAAGTATCTAGTTATTTTTTATTCAATGGTAGCATCACTGAACATGTGCTATGTAAGAGACATTAAACTAATATTTAACTAACATGAGTATTATGCAATGCTATACTATGGTTATAGTTTGGGATAATCGTGTTTTTTAAATGATCGACTAAACAGCGAATAGGAAAGATTTTGAATATGTGAGAAACATTGAGAGGTCAAAAAGAACACAGAAAAGGAGGAAAAGAGGAGCAAAAAATAGATGGAATACATAGAAAATAGATAATAAAATGGTTAGATTAAAACCTAGCTCTATCAGTATTCACTGTAAATGTAAATGATTAGTCCTTCTCGAATAAAAATCAGAAATTAGAGATGTCAACAATGCTCTCTCAATAATTAATAGAACGAGTCAACAGAAAATCATTTAGGATGTAGAAGACTTGTGCTACATTATCAACCAATTGGGCATAATTACAATTTATAAAATACTTCATCCTTCAACAGTGAATACATACTCTTTTTAAATTCAAATGGTTCACTTACAAAGGTAGACCATATTATGGGTTATAAAACAAGTCTTAAGATGGTGAAATTAAACTAGCAAGTAGTAACAAAGTTATTTCCAAATAACGCGTGAGTTAAAAAAGAAATTAAAAGGGAAATTATAAAGTATTTTGAACTGAGTGAAGATGAAAACAAAACATATCAAAATTTGTGGGATATAACTAAAATAGCACTTAGAGGGAAATTCATAGCACTAAATGTCTATACAAGAAAAGAAAACATTTCAAATCAGTGAAATCAAGTTCTGCCTTAAGAAACTAAAAAAAGAAAACCAAGTGAAACCCAAAGTAAGTAGAAGAAAGGAAATAATAAAGATGATAGCACAAGTCGATACAGGCAGCAGAAAACAATAGAGAAAAATTAAATAACAAACAAGTAGTCCTTTGAGAAGATCAATAAAATTGATAAATCTCTTGCCTAACTGATTAAGAAAAAAAGAGAAGATACAAATTACCAAAATCAACAATGAGCAAGGTTACATCACTACAGATTTTACTTATATTAAAAGAATAATAAAAGAATGTTATGAACAACTTTTCTTCTAAGAAGACAACTGCCAAAACACACTCAAGAAGAAATAGATTATTTGAAGGGCTTTATATTTATTAAAGAAATAAAATCTGTAGTTAAAAATAATCCTACAAAGAAAACTCCAGGTCTGGATGGCCTCAGTTGCGAATTTGACCAAACATTGAAGGAAGAAGTAATACAAACTCTTGCAGAAATTAAAGGTAAGGGAATATCTCCTGACTCATTCAATGAGACCAGCATACTTCTGACATCAAAACCAGAGAAAGACCCTGCAAACAAATAAAATTACAGACTCATTTCCTTTATGAATATAGATATAGAAATTATACATAACATTTTAGCAAATCAAATTAAACAAAATGTTAAAAGGACAATTCATTATGACCAAATGAGGTTTATCCCAGGAATATAAGGTTGAGTTCATATCCAAAAATCAGTCATCATAATTCATCATATTAAAAAGAAAATAATATAATCATCTGAGAAGATGCAGAAAAGGCATTTGACTCAATCCAATATCCATTCTCTTTTAAAACTTTAAAGAAATTAGAAATAGAGGGACATTTCCCCAACTGATAGAGGACGTTTATAGAAAGCCTATCACTAACATCATTCTTTTTTTTTCTTTTTTTTTAAATTATTATACTTAAAGTTCTAGGGTAGATGTGCACAACGTGCAGGTTTGATACATAGGTAAACATGTGCCATATTGGTTTGCTGCACCCATCACCTCGTCATTTACATTAGGCATTTCTCCTAACACTATCCCTCCCTCAGCTCCTCATGCCCCGACAGGCCCTAGTGTGTGATATTCCCTGCCACGTGTCCAAGTGATCTCATTGTTCAGTTCCCACCTATGAATGAAAACATGCAGTGCTTGATTTTCTGTGCTTGTGATAGTTTGCTGAGAATGATGATTTCCAGCTTTATCCATGTCCCTGCAAAGGACATGAACTCATCCTTTTTTTGACTGCATAGTATCCCACGCTAACATCATTCTTAATGATGAAAGATGAAGACAAAACAAGAACATTTATTCTCACTAGTTCTATTCAGCATCATACTGAAGATTCTAGCTAGTGCAATAAGGCAAGAAAAAGTAATTCAAGCACACATTTTGGAAAGGAAGAAATAACAGTCCTTATTCACCAATGACATAATCGTGTGTATAGAAAATCCGATAGACTCTCCAAAAAAGGTACAAAAACTAAGTGATTTTAGCAAGGTTGTAGGAAACAAGGTAAGTATACAAAAACCTATCGTATGTTATGTTAGCAACAACCAATTGGAAATCAAATTTTTTAAAATATCATGTTCAATAGTATTAAAAAATAGGAAATAACTTAGGAATAAATCTGACAGACAGCTTCTACACTGAAAACTACTTAACATGCTAAGATAAATTAAAGAGACTTAAATGAAGAGATATTGTGCTCATGGACCAGAAAACCCAACATTGTCAAGGTAACAATTTTGATTTGTATTTTCAGTGAAATCTGAATCTCACTTTTCACTGGCATTTTTGTGGAAAGTAATGAATTTTTTCTAAAATTCATATGAAAAGGAAACAGCGAAACAACTTTAATAAAGAAAAACAAATTTGGAAGACCTAAACTACCTGGCTTCAAGTCTTAAAAGATATTATAGTAAAGACAGTGTCATACTGGTATGTAGACAAATAAATTGATGAAACAGAATAGAGTCCAGAGATGGACTTACACATAGATGATCTGTTGAATTCTGACAAAATGCAAAATACTTTCCATGCGGAAAGGGTAGTCTTTTTTTTAACAAATGGTAATGGAACCATTTGCCCCAAAAAAAAAATAAACATCAAACCATACCATATATAAAAATTAACTCAAAATGGAGCATATACTTAAATATAGATCCTAAAAAGCTGTAAGGCTTCTAGAGGAAAACAGGGGAAAAAATCACTGCAGGCTTGGAAGATAGGTAAAAGATTTATTAGATATGACACAAAAAGCATGATGTTCTCTGTCAGATTTGCTCTCATCAAAATTAATAACTTCTGCTCTTTGGAAGCCACTTTTAAGTGAATGAGAAGACCGAGAGGGTGAAAATATTGCAAGTAACATATCTGATAAAGGAGTTATATCCAAAATTTATAAAGTACTCTCTAAACTTAATAATAGAAAATTAATCCATTTTTTAAAAGAATGGACAAAAAATTTAAACAGGTGCTTCACCAGGGAAGTTATATAGGTGGAAAATAAGCACGTGAAAAAGATTCTCAACATTCGTATTCATTAGAGAAATGCAAATTCAATCACACTGAGATACCACAACACATTAATTGGAATGTTTAGCTAAGACTGTATGAAGTTTTGGCAAGGATAATGGAGCCACTAGAAATTATTTCTAGTTCTAAGTTCAAGGTAGATACGTCTTAAATTTTGGATGAATGATAGATAAATGGACATTTGAATTATGTGTGATGTTCATTTAATAAGTTTTTTCTTTTTTTTAAGCTAAAAGTTGTTTAGTTCTTGTTGTGGGCCAAGCACTGTGTTAAGGCTTTTATATACATTTAATTTATCCTTACAAAAACACTAAGAGGTAATAAATATTTTACCCATTTTACAGATGACCAGTTTAAGCCTCCCTCAAATTAATTTGTAACAGTGATAGTGGAGAAAGATACAAATTCCATACTTCATGTGGTTTTCTCTAAAGCCCCCCACTTGTAATACTCATATCTGCCTCAGGTTTAGTCCTCAATAATAGCTATCTCATTATTCAAATAAACCATCAAAGGAATAAGAATATCACATTTAGAATGTTCAAATTAGTATGTCAATTTCTCATGGAGGTTCTCATAGGTTATAATATATCAAATTAGTACTAAATTCTGAGATAGTGGAGGAAGATAGAATGGTGAGAGAATGTATTTACATGCAGTTGATTACTCAGCAACTTTATAAAGCTCTTCTGAAGATCTTTGCCTATAGAATGCTTAAGTTGCTATGCTTTTTTCTACTTTTAATAAAACTGTGTTAGAGTTAATAAAACTGTTGAACATGTTTTAATACACAACAAATTGAAGAGTAGCTATTTGGATTCTGAAAATTGCCAGAAGCATTTTTAATAATATGAATTATATTCAAACATTTATAGCAAGAAGACATGCAGATTAAATTGTGTCCTTGCCCACTAGAGATTACACTAATGTATTAAGTTGGAGTAATAAAGGAAGAACAAAATTGATTTCTTTGAGTTTACTTATAACCTATAAATAATAGGTACAATTTATGTACTGAGACTTCCTTAATCTAGACATGTTTTATGATGTCATGCAAATATTTGAGCATGTTTTATGAGCTTAAAGTTAATATAAAACAAAGTAAAAGGAGTTTATATTTTTAAGAGATATAATAAAAAATTGTGTAACATTTTGATACCTAAGACAATTAAACCTATTTATCTAGAAGCTGAGGAAACTTACAAGAATAATATTGGATAGTGGAAAGTATAAAATAAATTTAAGAATGTTATTTACTAACTTGGAACATACACTTTGATATTATAACAAAATTATGATTATATTGGGTTTTCAATATATTCACAGAGGCTGACTGTGGTGGCTCACACCTGTAATCTCAACACTTTGGGAGGCCAAGGTGGGAGGATTGCTTAAAGCAAGGTGTTTGAGACCATCCTGGGCAACAAAGCAAGACCCCATCTCTACAAAAAAAAATGTTTCTTAATTGGTTCGGCATGGTGGCGGGTGTTTGTAGTTTCAGCTACTTGGAAGGCTGAGGTGGGAGGCTCACTTGAGCCCAGGAGTTTGAGGCTACAGTGAGCTGTCTATGATTGTGCCACTGTACTCCAGCCTGCATGACACAGCAGGACCCTGTCTAAAAAACAAAACAAAAACAAAAACAAGGTATTAGCAATAATAATATGAATTTCAAAAATGCAAGATAAAATTTCCTCGAAGATTTTTTTATGTTATCATTTTTTATCTTTTAGGATTTTGAATTATGGGATGATGTAGGATTAAACATTCCAAAACCTCCAGACTTATTGCAACTCTACCGAGATTTTGGAAATCATCAAGTGACTGGAAAAGATCTTGTAGATGTGGCCAGTGGAGTAGAAGAAGATGAATTAGAGGCCCTTACACCAATTATAAGCAACCTTCCTCCAACTCTTGAAACTCCCCAGCCTGCAGAGGTGAGAGATAGCAACTAATTAGTCAAGTCCACAAAAAGTATTTAAACTATGTAAAAGCATACAGTGAGATCTTGAGTTTCTGTTTTTCTCCTGTTTTGATTTTAGAACTCCATGTTAGTACAGAAATTAGAAGATAAAATTAGTTTGTTAAATAGTGAGAAGTGGTCATTGATGGAGCAAATCAGAAGACTTAAAAGGTGAGTACTTGATCATCATTCCTAAAAATCCTCTTAAGGTGTTTAAAGGTATTGGCAAGTTATGCAAATATAGGAAACAATATTCCAGTTGTAAGGCATAATGGCTTCACATTTTAATACTTCTGAAAGAAAGTTTTATAATTGTTTAATATATTTAAAATAGTAATAGGTATTTTTTCCCAAAACAAGTTACTAAATCAATATGGTGATCTTACAATCAATTGTGTCTTGACACTAAGAAATAAGATATTTTGATTTCTCCTTCATTAGTTGTACGTATTTCCCATTCATTATTCCGTTTAGTTCTTATAATAATTCTGTGGGTTTGAGGGAGTTATTCCCAGTTTGCAAATGAATAAAAGAAATTTAAGTGCCAATCAAAAGCAGGGTTTTTAAGGCCATTTTTATGCTTCATTCTTAAGTTTATAGCTACATTTTTAGGTATATGAAGCATCAGTGAATATTGCATAAAAAAGATTTATCATTTGCCAACCATTTGCTACTAATACTTTTAAATATACTTTTAAAACATTAAACCCATTATGAGATTTATGCTAGTTTTCAAAAATACAGTTGTCCTCTGGTGATTTCTCTTAATTTCTCTTTCTACAGTGAAATGGACTTCCTCAAAAATGAACACTTTGCCATCCCAGCAGTTTGTGACTCTGTTCAGCCTTCTTTGGATCAGTTGCCCCACAAAGACTCTGAGGACAGTGGACAGCATCCAGATGTAAATAGTTCAGACAAGGGGAAAAACACAGACATCCATCTTTCAATATCAGATGAAACTGATTCCACTATTCCTAAAGAGAATTCCCCAAATTCATTCCCCAGGAGAGAAAGAGAAGGAATGCCACCTTCTTCTCCATCAAGTAAAAACACAGTTCATTTTGATAAACCCAATAGGTTAGTATGCCTCCTATATTTTGAAATGCATCTTTCAGCTATTTAGTGTGTGTCAAATGGGAAGAGCTACTGTTTTTATTTAAACTGCTTTTTGTAGATCAAATATATGAATTTTTATATTTAACATGAACTTAACACATAGCAGAGTAGTTGTCACAAAAAAAGTCACAAAATTATTAGTTACTAAATTAAATTAAATCAAAAAGGAATTACCCATCAATGGGCTAGGTTCTATCTTAGCTAAGTACTTAAACCCGTAACTAATATGTTATTACTGTGTGCTACAAACACCCAGTGCTTTTTTCTGTATCCTTTAGTCATTATCAGACTCAGAGGAATATTTTGGTGCTGCATAGTTGCCTATGTTAAAGAAGGAATAATTTTTGCTCCTAGTTTTTTTTTTTTTTTTTTTGTCTGTGTCTGCCTCCATTACAAATATTACATCATTAGTATTCTTTTAATTCATATGTTTAATTTATTTTGGGTTACAGAATTCACAGATGACAAAAACCATGGTCCCTGTACTTTGTGATTATGTTTCTTAGTGGAGGGGACAAAATATAATTTTAAAACTCTTAGATTATAATTAAAAAATATTTTTAAGAAAGGAATATTACTGAGCTCTTTTTATATGTCACACAGAATTCTCAATGCTTTATGTATATTAACTCATTTAAGTCTTATGGTGCATTTTCAGCCACAAGGTCATACTTCATTTCCTATTAAATAGAGAGATGTTATGCCTACTATGAGCGTGTAATAGAAAAGCACAACTAATTTGCTTCAGACTTATAGGTCCTCATTATTACTAAGAAATATTGGATTTTTATTTAAGTAAAGCTTTTCACTCATGAACCACAACTTTTTCTGTGTATAGTAGGGGTGTGTGTGTGTGTGCATGTGTGTCTGTCTGTCTGTCTGTGTTGGTCACAGAATTGAAACAAACATGGCCCAAACCTCAAACCTTATAGTATGAGAGAGACAGACAACATAGAGAGAGCGATAACAGTAAGGTATGAAAAGCAGTATAACAAAATAAGTTCAGCTTGCTTTGGGAACATGTAATCAAGGCACTAACCTAGTCTTTAGAGCAGGAAGGCTTCATAGAAGTGTCATCCAAGATTTGAAAACTATGTAAGAGTTAACAAGCAAAGAGGTAAAAGAAAGAGTGTTCCCATGTGCACAAACAAGACAGTGCTTTAGGGGAACAAAGAAGGACTTAGTAAGGCTTAAGCAAATAATGCTAGTGAAAGGAAGGATAGAAGACAAAGTTGGAGAAATAAGCAAAGTCTAAGAAGTCATGTAAGCTTGCATTAATTCATTGTAGAGGTTGGGACATGATGGTATCTAAGCTTTAGAAAGGGTCCTCTGAGCTAGAGGTAATTGGAAGGTAGCAAGACTGGGAGCAAGGAAACTATACGGGTGTATGTTGGAAGAACCCAAGTAAGAAATGATGGAGGCCTGTTCTATATTGAAACATTGGTAATGGGAAGGGAAAGAAGTATATGGATCTGCAAGATTATTGGAATCTGCAAGATTATTAGAAGTTGAAAGACTGAATGGATTTGGGGTAAAAATAAAGGGAAGGAAGCCAGGGACGATGGCATTTGCCTCTAATCCCAGCTACTTAGGAGGCTGAGATGGAAGAATCGCTTGAGCCCAGGAGTTCTAGACAGCATGGGCAATACAGCAAGACCCCGTCTCAAAAAAAAGGATCAAGCCTGATTTGAGGTTTCTGACTTGGGCAAGTGGAAGGATTGTGGTTCCCCTCTGAGGGAATATGAGAGGAGCATAAAACAGCAAAAGGCTCAAGCTTTGGTACAGTACTCTGTATTCATAGAAATTACTGAGCGCCACTTTGTGGTGTATACTAAATAAGCTTTATTATCTAATTATTGATGTTAGCCTTTTCTTTGCAGATTTAACACATAAAGTACAACTCATAGTCATAATTTCATGAATAATACTACATAGAGACTGGTAGTGTTTTAGAAATATAATGTTTTAACCTCCTTTATTAAACATAAATAGGCTAATATTTTCAACTGCAAACAGAAACTTTCTTTAAAATGTATCATGAATATTGAATGAGCTGCGCCTCCATTTATCTTTAGACTTATTGTATGTGGTTTTCTAATATTCAGATTTATCATTAGCTATATATATCTGCAAAACTTTAATTCCTCTCAGCAATATACCAGGTCAACCTTTGTATCCACTTTACCTTTCTGTTTATCTTTTTGGGACCATGGAGAATTGGGGTTGGAGAAAGTCCTTATTTCCGATTTTCAAATCAGTTCTATAGTCATTGATCTACTATACCACTTTAGGTTTGATCCACTAACTGTAACTGCCATTTTTTCACATAACATCAAATTACTGCAAGAACACCAGTTACTATTGATTTTTTTTCTCCTAAATGACCTATATAAGTAAGTTTCTCCAGTGAAGTGTTCTTCAAGTCACTGATGGCTCAGAAATCTGATTAGCATTTGTGGGGTAGGATTAATGCTGGAATGGAAGTTATAATATGTAACTTAAATTTCTCCTTAAATGTCAATGGTAATTATTTGATATTGTCTCTTTTTCATACAACATTTTCTTCTAGGAAATTGTCTCCTGCATTCCATCAAGCACTACTCTCTTTTTGTCGAATGTCAGCAGATAGTCGTTTAGGATACGAGGTAAATTATACCACCTATTTCCACAAGTTTTTAAAAACATTCTACTTTTTTTCTTCTTTTTAGTTTCTCTTCTACAGAAGCATCTGTGATAAGGCTATATTTCAAATGCAAATCCATTATTTAAAAGAATGCTGTAAGATATAGTTCCTAACATTTTTAACTTTTAAGTAAAGTAGTTGATTATTTCTGGTTTTTGTATTAACATTAAAGTGACCTTTTATAAACTCTGTTTTTAGTAGTATGTCTAATGACAGCATCTCTTAGATATAATTCAGAAAACCAACTTAAGTGTACACTGTTTATATATTAATTGTCTATTTAAATTACTCCATTATTTTCATTTCATTAGGAGTGGTTATGTCCAATAGTTGAGTTTATTAGCTTGCATATTAGTTTTTCTCAACTATTTTGTATTTATTTTTGCAGATTGGTCTTGAGGGGGTATTTTATTATTATTGTTTTTTCTTACCTCTGTACTCACTCCTCCTTTTCTAGCTGTTTTGTGTTTCATTTCACTTGACTTCCCATGGGCTTGTGTTCCACAATGCTATTGAGAAGATCACAGAGCTAGTTAGAGGATGGTTTGGGTGCACTCTGGCAATCCTCATTGTAAGACTGGATCACCTTCCGTAGCCTACGCCTTGTATTTCCAAGTTCTTTGTACAGATTATCACTATCGCTACTGGTTGTAGCTTTGTGAGCATCTCTTCATGGACAAAAAGAAACATTGAGGCTGCCCTACTCCTGTGCTATCCCCCCTACTTGTTCCCAGAAATGAAGCCCATTAGGTCTTCTTGGCTTCACCCTTGATTTTAATGGTATTTTAAATCTGTTTCTAGCCCAAAGAAATATTGATGTTGATTGGAGCACTGTTGCTGTTGTTGTTGTTATTATAAGTTAAAATATTGGAATGTGTGTTTAGAGCAGAGGTGTCAGAACCTAACAAATGAACTTTGCTATATTATTGTGCACAGAAGTTCTCCACTATCATTGTTTATTATTTGGTTTTCTAGGTGTCTCGTATTGCAGATAGTGAAAAAAGCGTTATGTTAATGCTGGGACGCTGCCTGCCTCACATTGTTCCCAATGTGCTATTGGCAAAGAGGGAGGTAAGACACATAAAAGTATTTTCGTCCCAGTAATCCCATCATGTTGTCCATTTTTTGTCATTTTGAAGTTGAGTGTTATATTTTTATTTTCTTAAAGTCTATTACTTGCAATCATATTCTTACTTTTGTGCATGCATCTCTGCTCCTAGAGAATGGTTTTACACCTCTGTCAGGTGAGTTCAGTAAAACTGCATGGTATTCATGTTTTCCAATTTTGCTTAAAGCATTGTTAGCTTCTGCAGCACTAACTATTACTGTAGGTCCATTTATGTGCCATGAACACTGTCTGGTTTTCACATTACCAGTTAACTAATTATCTGTGCTCTTGGTATGATATGCTTTATTTGTCTACAGAAATGGACACTCTTTGTATTGAAAATTAACAGGGATGAATAATATAACACTAGTCATAAATGTACTTACAGTTGCTGATTATAAATGTGTTATTATGCTCATTTGGCAATAAATCACATTTCTCTTATGATAGGATAGTTGTCATATTGACTACAACAACTTTTTAAAGTTCCTTTTTTATTTTTCTTACAGTTAACCAGTTATTGACAGATGCTTTAAGTATCCAAAATACATTTGCAAATATATTTGAGTCCACATAGCCTATGTTATGATCCATAAACACTATAGGAAGTTATCTTTATGGTTGTATTTATAAATTATTATTAAATATAGTTATATTTAGTCAATAAAAGATTAATGGGAAGTTATCTATAATCTCATTTAAATGACAGTGGATTATTTATTTGCAGATAATTTAAATTATTTTATTGAATTCTGTTTTTGAGATAAAATTTTTGATCAAAAAAATTTTATAAAGAATAGATGAAGAATATTTTAGAGTGTATCATGTAACTTTCTATTGTCATTTTCTTAATATTTACCACTGATTTTACTCATAGTTTCTGGGACCTACAGTACATATAGGTACATAATGCATTGGCAAAACCCATTTAAAGCTTATTTTCAATTATCCATTTAGCACAAGAAATTAGTACTGATCCTCAAGAAAACATGTAGAGCTTTAAAATTTTTTATCCCCATAGGTATTTTTAATAAAAACAATTAAAAAGATTATTTTCCTACGATGGCTTTATTTTTACCTAATTATTTTAAAATAGTCATAAGATATTAATAAGTATGGAAAGTCTTATATGTCTTGAAGGATCAGTGTCCAATTTCAGATTGTTTTGCAGTTCTGCCTGGCAGAATGGTGTTTGAGCTTCTTTTCCTTTTTTAGCTTGTAACATAATCCATGTAATGTGTTAACGTTTGCATCCCTTTTACTGTATTTCCTTAATATCATCTTTAGAGTATTACAGAAATCTAATTATTATGAAATTCAGTTTTAGCTTTTTTATTTTAATTTGTCATATTATCATAAAAGACTACCACTAAAATCTGATTGTACTGCATGAAATATTTATAAATTTGCATCATCAGTAATCAGATACGTTATACATACAGATTATATACATATATGCACACATAGAACTAATTTGTGGTATGATGTTTACTTTTCTGGCTGATTTTAAATTTTTTATAATTAAAAATATATAATTTCATGAAAAACTGATCATCTATCTTTGTTCATTTAATTATTTGTATGTTTTATCAGAAAAGTTGCCATTTATAATAAAATGAAATTATATTTCCTCAAAATTAAATTGATAAATAATGAAATATGTCTTAGAGTATTTAAAATCAATCCCTAGGCATAAAAGAACAAAACATTTTTTCATTACATCTCTTGATATTGAATTACTTTTTAATATTTCACCCCTATTTCTTCTTATAAATCTAAATATCTCTATGGGGAGACAGAGTTGTTGTTGTTTCTTTTTGTTTGTTTGTTTTTTGGGGTTTTTTTATTTGAGGCAGGCTCTCACGCTGTCACTCAGGCTGGAGTACAGTGGCACAGTCATGGTTCACTATAGCCTCAAACTCCGGGTCTTAAACATTAAATCTACATTTTTATAAAACTCCTGTGATTGAAGGATTAATATTTTGACTTCTTATTTCTCATATTTGGTATACTCCTGTCAGCAAAAGCCTTTTTGTTGGTATTTAAATAAAATTTAAATGTTCTTTAGTAAACTGAACATAGTAATATCTTGGCTGATTAAATAAAGCATTAGAAACAGGGTTTAATGTTTTGATTAATATGTTTACATGGTTTAACTTTTTTTAATGTAAAAAAATGTACAATGAAAATTCCTTTTTTCCTGTCCTTGAGCTTCTGTCCCATATGCAGTCAATTTTGCTAGCTTCTAGCAAATGGTCAAGTCGTTTGACCATTTTTGAATTTGATTGTTTTTCTTCATGTTTTTGAGTTCGGGGTTTTTTATATATTCTGGGTAGTAAACCCGTATCATATATATGATTCGCAAATATTTTCTTTCATCCTGTAGGTTTTCTTTTTACACTCTTGACCATATCCTTTGATGGGCAAATGTTTTCCATTTTTATGAAATCTGATTTATCCATTTTTTTCTCGTGTTGTTTGTGCTTTAAGTATCAATTTTAAGAAACCATTGCCAAATCAGTGTTATAGAAGATATATATATGTATATGAATATATATAAGAGCTAAAGCTATAAAACAATTACAAGAAAACATTTTTTATATATATTTAGGTCAATGATTCATTTTGAGTTAATTTTTACATATGGAGTGAAACAGGGTCTAACTTTATTCTTTTCATATGGCTATCCAGTTATCCAGAAACATTTGTTCAAGATAAAAAATTTCCTCTTTTGAACAGTCTTGCTACTTTTGTCAAAAATCAGTTGGGCCTAGATTCTTCGGGTTTATTTCTGGACTTTCAGTTCTGTTCCATTGGTCTGTATGTCTAGCCATATGCCACTACCACACTGTTTTGATAACTGTTGTTTGTAGTCAGTTTTGAAATTGGGACATATGAGTCCTCTAACTGCACTTCACTATTGTCTGCTCAGGGTCCCTTGCAGTTCCATATGAATTTGATGCTCAGCTTTTCACTTCTGCAGAACAGGTCACTGAAATCTTTATAGAGATTACATTAAATTTATAGATCTCTTTGGGAGTATTGTCATCCTAACAACATTAAGTTTTCCAGTTCACGGACGTGGAATGTCTTTTTGTTTTTAGATCTTTAATTTCTTTCAGTAATATTTTGTAGTTTTCAGTGTACAGTTCTTTCACTTCTTTGGCTAAATTTATTCCTAGGTATTTTGTTCTCTTGGATGATATTGTAAATGGAATTGTTCTTTTAATTTTCTTTTCAAAAAAGGAAAGATTTATCCTGATTTATCAAAACAACACTGGTCATTGTGTGTTGATCTTAAATCTTGCAACTTTGCTGCATTTGCTTATTAACTCTAATCATTTTTTATGGATTCTATGATATTTTCTACATATATAGAATCGTGTCATCTGCACGTAGAGAGATAGTTTTGCTTCTTCTTTACCATTTAGATGGCTTTTATTTTTTCCTGTTGCTTAGTTGCTCTAGCTAGGACTTCCAGTACAATTTGGATGGTAATGTTTTGAGAAAGCAGATACCCTTGCCTTGTTTCTGATCTTACAGGAAAGCTTCAATCTTTCACCATTGACTATGATGTTTGCTATAGAATTTTTATAAATGCCTTTTGTCGTATTAAGGAAGTTTCCTTTTATCCCTAGTTTGCTAAATGTTCTTATCATAAAATGGCATTGAATTTGCCACATGCTTTTTCTGCACCTGTTAAAATGATAATGTGATTTTTCCCCCTTCGTTCTACTGTGATATGCCTGCGTTATTAATACATTGCCTAATTTTATGTTAATCCACCCTCGCATTCATGAGATACATCCCATTTGGTGTTGGTTTATAAACCTTCTAATGTGCTTTTGGATCTGTTGTTAGTATTTTGTTGAGTATTTTTGTGTCTATATTAATAAGGGATACTGTTCTGTGGTTGTTTTCTTATCTTGTGTTTTGGTATTTGGTATTGGTTTTGGTATTGGGCTAAAGCTGGCTTGATGGGTATAGGAACTCTTCAGTCTGTTTCCTTGTTATATGCCTGTTGGGATTTTCTACTTACTGAATCAGTTTGGTGATTTCTGTGATTCTAGGAATTAGTTCATTTCATCTTGATTATCTGATTTGTTGATGAGCAGTTGTTCATAGTATTAACTTATTTCTTTTAATTTCTGTAACGTCGGTACTAACATCCCTGCTTTCATTTCTGATCCTAGTTATTTGCATCTTCTCTCTTTTTCAGTCAGTCTAGCTAAACGTTTGTCAATTTTGTTTCTCTTTTCGAGAACCAACTTTTGATTTTGTTAATTCTCTTCATTGTTTTTCTAGTCGATGTTTCATTTATCTCTGCTCTAATCTTTATTATTTCTTTTCTTCTGCTGGCCTTGGATTTAGTTTGATCTTTCTGTAGTTCCATAAGACATTGAATTACTGACTTGAGATCTTTTTAAATACAGGTATTTATAGCTATAAATTTCCCTCTGAGTACTGCTTTTGCTATATCCCATTAGTTTTGGTATATTGTTTTCATTTTCATTCATCTCAATGTTTTCTCGTTTACTTCATGATTTCTTCCTTGAGCTATTGCTTATTTAAGAGCATGTTGTTTAATAGCCACATATTCGTGGATGTTCCATTTTTCTTATGTTACTGATTCTTAATTTCATTCAATTATAGTCAGAGAAATACTTCATATGTTTTTGATCTTTTAAACTTACTAAGAATTACCTTTGCCTAACTTATGGTCGGTCCTGGAGAATGTTCTGTGTGCATTTGAGAAGAATATATATTCTGCTGATGTTGAGTGGAGTGTTCTGTATAATTTTATTAGATTTAGTTGTTTTATAAAGTTTGGGTTCTCTATTTCCTTATTGACCTTCTGTCTAGAATTTCTGTGCAGTATGAAAGTAGGGTATTGAAGACTCCAACTATTATTGTAGAACTGTCTTATATTCTTTCAGAGATACTTTGTGCATGTATAAATTCA